AACAGCAAACTGGATGCTCTCATGCAATGGCACAGTGTGATTTGCATGCCTCCTCCATATCTGTGAGCGCCAGTTATCAGGAGAAGGTATCAGGGCCTATCATTTCCTTTACATCTTCAGCCCCCATTACTTGGCTGATTTCAAGTTTGCTGTTGATGTAGGGTTGACCTCCATCTGACCCAAATCCTAAATTGTTTTCAGTTTCATTCTTGTGGATAGTTTGATATTGTATGTTAGGTAGCTTTCCTGGCATTGTGCAACATCTGCTGTTCGAACTGCATCCCAATGGCTGGATTCATTATCTCATCACATAGTAAGACACTGTGTCACACAGACCAGCAAGGTTCCAGCTGTCATTCCAACAGTCCTATTACCTCAGCTAGAGGAATCCATTGATGCTACAATTGATCTCCGTGTCCCTGGATTAGACAAGGGTAAATCAGCTAAGGTTGCTGCTCTCAAATACACCCCAATCAGTGAGCATGTCTTTGCGTAAGAGGGACAAGTTCCAATTCAGGGATGTAGTTAAGGTGAATTGTAGTGGCAGAGATTGGAAATAATGATGTAACTTTCTCACAGATTGTGGCTGTCACCATTCAAGGGCTAGCATACAGCTACGGCGTGGCAAATGATGCCCAACAGAATCTTTGGAAGGAACAGCGGATTTACCACTTTCCCCTGAAGTAGTCTTGGAGCTGCCGTGGATCTGTTTTGCCTTCTGTACCAGTAAAATATTTCTGTATTGTGCGTAGGGGATTACAGATGACCTATCCCTTCAGGGATTAAGCCACACTTGGAACAGGAGACGGACTGTAGCTCCCTCGTATGCTTGGTACAAGGACGTGTTGTGATACCAGCGATGGTTACGTCTAGGTTCTGGCAGTGCTTTGGAAGAAACAGGCAGAGACTGGAGTCCACACAATGCTCATCTCAACTGAATCGAGGCCTCCAATCTGGCCGCTCCCTATTGAAACCACTGCAGCCAGTGCAATGCTTTCCTGAGCTGCCGCCCCGGGTTTACCAGTGTAGGTATAAAATGGCTAAAGAAAGATATGGTGTCAACCATGACACACTCTAGGGAGGATCCTGTCCAAAGCGTACAAGAATGAGCCAGCTATTGGCAGGATCAACTGGCACAAGGGAGGATGGATTGGCCCATTGCTGTCCTGGTTGTATTCCTTTATTGTTCAGTTATTGCAAAACAAACAAAGCTGTATTTAGATTTGAACAATTTTCGTCTGTCCAATGTCTAAAAATGAAAATTATGAAATACCTCACAAGATGACATTTCCAACTTCTCCCTGATCTGCACACTTAGCTTAACTCCCTACCTCTACTCTTCCCTCAGTCTGGCTTCATCCCAGCCTTGCCCCACTCTCATCACTTTAATCCTATTACCATCAATCTTATTTTACCCCATCCAAATCTGAAATTAATGTAACCAAGCCTCCCTCCTTGTCACTAAGTCACCTGGTTTCTGCAAGCTGTCTTGCATTTTCTGTTCCACTCCCTGCTCTGGTCTCCTGTCTAACAGACACTGACTTACTGAGTACAACTTCACAGGCTTCACCTGCTTTACCATCCGTGTCAACTTCACACATGCCTGTCAATGTAGTGAAGTACTAGCAGACTATTAAGTGATCATAACTGAATCATGTACTATCTTCAAATGTACTGTTCCTGCCTTATTTCTCTCTCCTCCCTAACCACCTGGTGCTGAGGTCAATTATTACCCCGACTATCACTCTGTGTGGAACCAATTTGTTCCACTCAAAGTGGATATGGAGCCTAATACTTTGTGACCTGTCAGTCTCCACTACAAAGTTACCAGGGAGCTGAGAAAACTGAATTTACCAATGCTTCACTCTAGCATCAGTACACAATGCACACTGGAGCCCTTTTATATGTTCGATATTCAAGTATTTCATAAAGAAAGGAAATTGCAGTGCAGTCGTCACTGGTCAGTTTTAATTAGGTGGCAGCACAGTCATAAATATTTTATATGAGGAATCAGTGCGAGTTGCAGCAGGAGTGGCTACAGAGAGCCGTTCAGTCATAGCCACTGGGGTTTATTCTTGCCACCTGTCTAAATTGGAGTGGGCAGACAGTGGGACACTTAAGAATATTTGCTCTGTTGATGAAAAAATAACCGCTCAGGTCTTAGCAGGATTGACAGGTTAGTTCTATGTTAAGGAGACAGCTTTTTTTGATATTAATATTGAGTCATTATTTTGCTCCATATCTGTCCCACTGGCGATTTTGCTCTGAATCTGCAGTAGGCTAATGCGAATATGGAACATGCTATCACAGGGAGTACAGACAAATAGCATTTTGCATTCAAAGGAAATCTAAATAAACACATGATGGAGGAAGAAACAGAAGGATATGCTGATTGGGTTAGACGTAGAGAGGTAGGAGGAGGTTGATGTGGAGCATGATCGCTGGCATCAACAGGCTAAATGAATAACCTTTCTCAGTCTGGAAACATAGTGTGATAGATTATTGTTTTTCGAGTATCATGAGGCAGAAATGTGATCAGCGATTTATGTTCTCATGCAATCATCTTAACAGTCCCTTTGCACACACGAACTGATGGATTCATGCCTAGGTATACCTGGAGTGATGCCTGTGAGGGTGTTACGTTCTGGTATGTGTACACTCTACATGATAACTGGTGCCAGGGATGACATGATGCTCTTTAGTGGTTCTGCCCTGCCTGGTGAAATACTGAGCCTAGCAGCACTGACAGAATTGGTAACACAGGAAATTTGTACAGTTTCTCAGCAGCCTTCTGTCACACGGTTTGCAAAAGCAAAATCCAACAAGAGTGAAAATGATTGCCAAAGAATCAAAAAGCCTTTCATTCCTTGCCTAAGTGCTGGCATTAGAAAGATAAGAAAACCAAACTGTTATGCTTTCTAAAATTTCATCAAGTTGTTTTGAGAAAGTGTCCCAAGTCCCAAATTTCCCAGGTCTTCATTCACAAAAGCCTCCCCCTTCTAATGAGTACAAGAGATTTTTGGGACCTCATTCTCCGTCCTTTCCAATACAATATTGGGTCCTTTTGCAGCAAAGTATGTGTTCGTGCTTCCAGCAGTTTTTGAGACCAGGTCCCAAAACAGTCCAGCCAGTGTGAGAGTCTGCTGGCACTCATAGTGTAATAGGGCAGAGCATGTGACCATCACAATGGGAAATGTTGACACCAGATGTTAAGTGACAACTGTGAGCAGAAATCCTGGTTAAAAAGAGAGGAAGGATCTGAGGTGTTTGTTGCTGACACATTACTTCTCCCTATGATGCTGCTCTTCAGTACACCTTCCCAATTACTCTCCTTCTCTCTTTCTTTGCTGCTTTTCTTATCCCTGTTCCCATTCTCCCTCTCACTGCTCAAACATTTATTCAGAGTGCACTTGAACCTTTATAACTATCTGAAATGGCGCTTCTTGAGCTTTTGTCAGTCTTTGGAAGATACAACAGCATGCGAACTGCTATATAGACAAATAGAAATGAATGTGAGCAGTTGCATTTTTTTCTAGAAAGGAGGAGTCTGAGGTGTGACGAGAGAGGCCTTCAAGATTATGAGAGTGTTTGATAGGTGCACAGATGATGTTTGCACTTGCAGGTATGATCAGATTTAGGAACCATCCCTATAAGATCATCTTAATAGGGAATTCAAGGAAAATTTCTTTGCCTAAAGAATTATTCAAATGTTGAACTCGGAATCACAGAAAAAAACCGTTAAGGCTGTCATTTCTGTGTCAGCTCTCCAAATGAGCAATTCACCAATGCCATTCTCCTATCTTAATAATCCAATGGCATCCTGAATTACTTGGTTATACCTACCTGTATCACACTGTCAGGCAGCATATTCCGCAAGGGATTGGTTCTAGTTAATAGCATACATGCATGTGTGGGGAATCTAGGATTAATGAGGGAGAATGTATTAGAAGGATGTGTTGAGCAAAGTTAGAAGAAAAAGCATGAGAAGAGGCTTATGAGGAGCATAAATGTTGTATGGACTTTTGTATTCATGATGTGTGTAGAAAGGATATATGTAGATATATAGACTGTATAATACTATTTAATGTAAGCATCCTTTTTTGTGTAAGGGTATTATGAACCAGACTAAACACCCTCAAAATATATTAAGAAGGTAGTCTAGGTTGTAACTTCCTCTTATTTTACAAGTAAGTCTAAGGTGTTGTATTCTGGATGCAATTTGATTGATCAAACTACCAGGCTTGAAATAAGACACACTTTATTCATTGACTATAATTAAAATACAGATAAAAAATAAAAAGACAAAAGAATTGGCTTAACTGTAACTATTGAAATGCTTAATAAGATAATATATATTAACTATTAATGTTAACTGTTTCATGTTCCAATATAGTAACATCTCAAAAACACACCCTTGGCAAAGCCAAATTCAGAAAAATAGATCATCTCATATGCAATTCTAGGAGCAGGAAGAGAGCCCCAGCTTTTAGCTGTAACAAAGAGAGGAATCAGAGCTTCCACATCCAGCTTCAAGATCCCAGCAATTGCGACTGAAGGCAAAAACTAAAAAAAATCCTGGTTCTTTGGGAGTTTGACCACCACCACCCCCCGCCCCCACTCCTTCAGGCTGCTTCTATTGTTCCAACTTTAAAGAAGAACCTAAGGCCTCACAAGCTGTTTACTTTATTGGCTTTGGAGCAGACTGCTTGTTGCCTCTGTCTCAATCTTCTTTATTTAAAAAAAAACAAGACAAAATACAACTGTTAAAGCCAGACTATCGTCACAAAGGGTGCAACATTTCTAAGGCTTTTGAGCATCTCTGATGAACTCATTTAGTCAATAGGCGGCAATGGGTAATGTACTCAATACTGATTAGGAGTCTACTCCTTTTGTTGGACTTTTTGGATGTTATTTCACTGAAACACTTGAATCTCTCTTAGAATAAGTGGAAATAAATCATGAATTATAATTCTTCTAACATTATGGCACTTGTCCCACAGTTCCACGAGTAAATGGACACACTAAAACAGATCGGCATCGGAATGCAGGTGGCTATGAGAGTGCTTCCACAGTGATGAGCAGCGAGCTGGACTCGAGCAGCTTCATTGACTCAGATGATGACAACACTAGCAGGTAGGAGCAAAGGTGATGCAGGTACATGTAGTAGAACAAACAAAATATGTTATCATACATCAGCTATACAGCAATGCATCATACACATAAGAGGACAGATGATGTATTTATTATAGTTAGGACAAAGGTGATGCATTGTACATTGGAATGAAAGGTTATGCAATTTTTGGGGAGGAAACTGGATGATCTATCGCCTGACAGCCTTGCCATTCTGATGAGGACAGAATGAAGGTGATTACTTCTATTCATATCTGGGATGCTGTGCCCCATGTCATGTTGTCTCCAGTTAGATTTGTTATTGGCCTCTGGTTTTACAGATCAACCTTTTTGTATCGTACAGAAATTCAATTGCAGACGCAGTGTTATTTTGTGACAAGAAGTATTTGTTTTATTGCAGACAGTGAGGTTACTCTGGTTACTTCAATAACCTCCTTGAACATGACTGTAACCATTGATAGATTATTCATCCATGACCTTGCTGGAATCATTGACTTGTTCACATATCCTTGCCTATCATTTGTCCTTGATTGTGTTGCAGTCTGAAACCACTCGTAACTCTTCTCGCTGATTGTATCCTCTTACCAAAGTTTATTCCATGTTTCTTATATAACCTCCAGGATCTCCCAACAATCCCTGGTCTTCTTCATGTACCTGCTCCCCATTGGCAGTATCATTTTCAGATATGTCAGTTTCTGTATGTACGTTAACAATCATCACCTCCTCGCCACAAACCTTTCCTGATGTCTTCCTGTCACTTATTTTCAATCTGCTTCTACCACACCCAGTTCTGTTACCCAGTCTGCGGAACAACAAACCAGCTCGGCGAGCCAACTAACCACAACATCCACAACCCGAGCTACAAATTTACTCTAAAACCTTACAGTTTTGAATCAATCATAAGTTGTTATTTTAAATATTGGAAAGATTGAAGCCATTGATTTTAGCCTGACTATAAACTCTGTAACCCATTTCCAACTGCAATTCTTTTCTTAACGTGTATTTAAGTTTGTTTGCAACCTCAAATTCTACTTGATCCTGAACTTCTGTCACTGTATCCTCCCAATCATCCACCTACTTCCACCTCTGTAATGTCACCCATCTCCATCTCTACCTCAGCCTGTCTGCTATAAAAATGCTCAGCCAGGCATTTGTCACCTCCACACTCCTCTATTCCATTGCCATCTTGTCCAACATCCTATACATAACCCTCAATAAACTTCAGCTCATCCTAAATTCTGGTTACCGGTGTCCTATCCTATACTAAATCCCACATGCTCATCTCTGCTAGGGACACTCAGGCCCACTGGCTCCTGGCCCCCGGCCCCCAATTGCCTTCCATTTAAAACTTTCATATTTGGGTTAAATCCTTTCATTGTCCCCTTCATCCTATCTTTGTAATCTCTTCTGGCTCAAAAACCACCTCCCCCCTTATTTTGGTTCTTTAACTCTGCTTGTGTATTTCCCTGTGTGCTGTCACCCAAAGGAGAGGTGGTGACATAGCGGTAATGTCACTGGACTAGCAACCTAGATCCCCAGGCTAATGTTCTGGGGACATGGGCTTGAATCCTACCATGGCAGGTGGTAAAATTTGAATTCAATGAAATCTAGAATAAAGAACTGGCTAATGGTGACATGAACCATTGCTGCTTATTGTAAAATTTCATCTGATTAATTTTATTTTGTCTGGCTTACATGTGACTCCAGACCACAGCAATGTGTTTGACATTTACAAAAACAGAAGTTGCTGGAAAAGCTCAGCAGGTCTGGCAGCGTCTCTGAAGAAAAATCAGAGTTAACGTTTCGGGTCCAGTGACCCTTCCAGCAACTTCTGTTTGTGTTCCTGATTTACTGCATCTGCAGTTCTTTCAGTTTTTATTTAGTGTTTGACACTTTACTGCCTGCTGTGCAATAAATGCCACTCTGGTCAACAATGCTCAGATGTAATGAATGAATAATTTAAAAAAAAAAGCCCACACTCTTCAACTCCACATCCCTTTCCTCTTTTAAGATCCTCTGTAAACCCAGCTGTTTGACCAAGCTTCAGTTTTATTTTATATTATTTGTGCAATGTCTTGGCCATTTTGTTAAGGACAGTCTATAGTTGTATCATTGCTGCTGTAAAAACACCTTACTATTGACGGAGAAACTGCAAATTGTATTGAGAAAAATCAATGATATTTACTTTGGAAGAATGAAAATTAACCATGAGTTAACATGGTTAACATGGATGAAGCAATATTCCATGTTGATCCGTTAAAACTTTACTTCAGTGTCTTTTAATGGTATTATGAAAGGATTCCCGTTGTGCTTATTAGGTCACTGGGTCACTTCCTCTCAGATTCTGCCTGATTATGTTGAGTTGCATTCTTTTATCTCTTCACTTTGTTGAATTTTTCCTCCCCTTCTCTGCTGAAGATGTTCACTTGAACTCGGAGCCTAGTGATAATGGACCTGTCCACTGGTCAGAAAGTCAAAGGCAGCCCTGCCCTGTTATTGGGTTGATCTGATTTTATGTGTGGGCAATTAGCTGCCTGCTATTGGGGTCCTGACCTTTTAAGAGGATGGCAGGATGTCATGACTGGTGTACCACCGGGATAAGTGCTGGAACTTCAACTCTTTTCAATTGATAAAAATGATTTGGATATAGGGATCAAAGGTATGGCAGCTGAATTTGCTGATGATGCAAAGGTAGGTAGGAAAGTGATAGTAGGAACTGCCGATGCTGAAGAATCTGAGATAACAAGGTGTAGAGCTGGATGAACACAGCAGGCCAAGCAGCATCAGAGGAGCAGGAAAGCTGACGTTTCCGGTCTGGACCCTTCTTCAGAAATGGGGGAGGGGAAGGGGATTCTGAAATAAATAGGGAGAGGGGGGAGGCAGATAGAAGATGGATAAAGGAGAAGATAGGTGGAGAGGAGACAGACAGGTCAAAGAGGTGGGGTTGGAGCTAGTAAAGGTGAGTGTATATGGGGAGTTAGGGAGGGGATAGGTCAGTCCAGGGAGGACAGACAGGTCAAGGAGGTGGGATGAGGCTAGTAGGTAGGATATGGGGGTGGGGCTTGAGGTGGGAGGAGGGGATAGGTGGGAGGAAGGACAGGTTAGGGAGACGGGGATGAGCTGGGCTGGTTTTGGGATGCAGTTGGGGGAGGGGAGATTTTGAAGCTTGTGAAGTCCACATTGAGACCATTGTGCTGCAGGGTTCCCAAGCTAAATATGAGTTGCTGTTCCTGCAACCTTCGGGTGGCATCGTTGTGGCACTGCAGGAGGCCCAGGATGGACATGTCGTCCAAGGAGTGGGAGGGGGAGTTGAAATGGTTCGTGACTGGGAGGTGCAGTCATTTGTTGCGAACCTGAGCGTAGGTGTTCCGCAAAGTGGTCCCCAAGCCTCCGCTTGGTTTCCCTGATGTAGAGGAGGCCACGTCGGGAACAACAGATACAGTGTACCACATTAGCAGATGTGCAGGTGAACGACTGTTTGATGTGGAAGGTCTTCTTGGGGCCTGGGATGGGGGGTGAGGGGGGAGGTGTAGGGGCAGGTGTAGCACTTCCTGCGGTTGCAGGGAAAAGTGCCGGGGCTGGTGGGGCTGGAGGGGAGTGTGGAGCGGACAAGGGAATCTTCAAATATTAAGCGATGGTCAGCAGCCTTCTAGAATTGCTGCAGTCCATTTGATCAAGAGTAGACTGATGGCATGCAGCACTCTCTGGGCAGAAGTCTTTAATACTGTTTCCGGAATGTTTCTAGGGCCCGTAGCCTTTACATATGCAGTGCCTCCAACCATTTCTTGATATCAGGTGGATTGAATGGAGTTGGCTGAAGACTAGGATCTATAATGCTGGGAACCTCTGGAGGAGGTGCTTGACAAGATGGTAGTGAGCTGACTTCTGAATTGCTGCAACTCTTGGAGTAGGGGCACCTACAGTGTTGTCAGAAAGTGCACTCCAGGATGTCAACCCAGCGACAGTGAAGGAGCAACAATATAGTTCCAAGTCAGGATGGTATGTGGCTTGGAGGAGAACTTGCAGGTATTGATGCTCCCATATATTTGGTGTTCTCGTCCTTCTAGGTGGACGAAGTCATGGGTTTGAAAGATGCTGTCTATGGATCCTTGGTGTCTTGTTGCAGTGCATCTTGTAGATGGTACACAGTGTAGTCACAGGGTATCAGGGCTGCAGGGAGTGAATGTTGAAGGTGTTAGATGGGCTTCCAACAAGCAGGCTGTTTTGTCCTGGATGATGTCAAGCTGCTTGAGTGTTGTTGGAACTGCACTTGAATGTTCCATTCTGCTCCTGAACCTGTGCCTTCTAGATGGTGGTCAGGCTTTGAGGTTACAGGAGGTGAGATAGTCGCTGCAGAATTCCTAGCCTCTAATCTGCTCTTAAAGCCACAGTATGACACGGCTAATCCAGTTAAATTTCTTGTCAATTGTAGCCCCTAGAATTTTGATAATGGTGGATTCAATGATGATATTATGCCACTGAATGACAAGGAGAGATGATTTGATTCTCCTGTGTTGGCGAACGTAGTTGCTTTGCACTTGTGTTATACCTGTTATTAATCAGCCCAAGCAGAATGTTCTCTAGACCTTGCTGCATTTGTGCACAGACTGCTTCATTACCTGCAGAGGTGTGAATGGTGCTGACTATTGTGCTTTAAGCATTTACTATCCCAACCTCTGACCTTATGAAGAAAGGAACGTCTTCGCTAAAGCAGCTGAAGATTGTTTGACCTAGGACTCTACCCTGAGGAATTCCTGCAGTAACATTCTTTTGCTGAGATGATTGACCTCAAACAACCACAACCATTGTTTTTACTCCAACAACCGGAGAGGTTTCTTCCATAGACTTTAGTTTTTCTAGGGCTCATTGATTGCATACTCTGTAAAATGCTTTGATGCCAAGGACAGTCACCCTGTCTGCCTCTCTTGAGTTCAGCATTTGTCCATTTTTAAACCAGGGTAGCAATGAGGTCGGGAGTGAAATAGATCTCACAGAACTCAAAC